CAGGCGTATTGTGTGTGCCACGAAGTGAGAGTTAGATTCCCGCTCCAGCCAGTGGAACTTTTCGCAACCTGAAAATTAAGTTAAGTTTTCAGTCTGTGCAACCTCCGGTTGAAGACAGTGTAACTTGTCTTTTAAAAACTCTGATGACAATTGCATGGAGATTTTGTGAAGAATGGAAATAGAATTCAGAAGAGAAATCAAAGCAAGTTCGTATGATGAAACTTAAGGAGTATGCTGATACGAATCGTGAGAATAATTTCAATGGAATTCTGTTCAATGTTTTTATGGAGATTCATTTTAATAAAATTTTGAGAAATGTAATCGGAATTATGCCAAAAAAAAACATCTGGCAATTTCTGAGCTATTTTGGCAAAGTATTTCAAAGGATTTCAAAAAAATTCTGACCTTACTTACGAAGCAGCTCAAAGGGAATTGTCGTATAAGTCTGAGAATAGTGTGACGGTCATTCTGAAGAGTGTGACAAAGAAATTATTAAGAATATTCTAATGGAATTTCATAGAGAAAGATGAGAACAAAATTATGCCAATTCTTGGAAATTATTGCTAGTTTGAGGGAGTTCTGAGGGAGTGATTTATAAGAGATAACAAGAGAACTCTTTGAATGTTACTGAAAACGTTTGGATATTATCAAGAATATTTTAGGGGAATCCAGAAAAGAAATATGATGGAACTCTGATGAACTCCGAAAAAAGGACGAAGATATCCTGTAAAGAGTTCCATGTAAATTCAGACTAACAAAAAGTTTCATGATCTGGAACCCAGGAAATATATAAATTCCGCTTTCAGACTTTCATTTTAGTTATATAATAAAATTATTCGTAATATTAATGCAAACAGTTGAGTTACCTGTAATTTAGGTAAACTGTGTGTGAATACCTCGATGTTAGGCTTTGATTTCCACTTCAGCATGGTGAATTTTACTTTAAAATAAATTTGCCTACTACCTACTATGATGTCGAGAATTACGTTGTTAGTCTGATCAACCTCAGGGTTATATTAGAATTATTTAGAACTATTAAAATCTTTAAGACATATTATGGTACTGCATCAAATAGTAAGGACTACATCTACTATTAGTTTAAAAAAATCCATCCCATCAAAGTTGCTTGATTCTTTGCTTTTCATTCTTTTTAAAAAAAAGTTGCAATTTAAAAATAAATTCTAAAAATATTTTCTGATGTATTTCACCAACGATTTAACTCAATTTTTGAAATGCTGCCCAATGGATATTCAAGCATTTTGGACACACTGTGTCAATACTTTTCTTAACTTTTGGAAGATTTAAGCAATGCTAATAAGTTATTTGTTTTATCTAATTTATTTAAACATGTAATTCATAAACATTCTGGTACTTTGAATAAATTCCAGATGATCATACTGACCGAATTTTACAAGAGATTGGCACATCACTTTGATTTCAATAGCATTATGTTAAAAACAGGATTTTTTAGCCTTCCAGATTTTTACAGATTTTATATTTTAACTGGTCCAGATTTTTATGAAAATGAGCTGGCAACGCTGATTGGCGCTGTCTACCTGCAGACTGCACGATCATCCGTGAGCATCATTGTTAGGTCTTGATTGAGTCCTCGCTCTCCCGCACTACTATTTGGCGACTACAACCAAGCTGGTTTACAGTGGCGCTCTACCGACAGCGGCACACCATTAATTGACCCACTGCTAGCGGGTTTAGTAGAGTAAACACTTTTCTCAACCGAAACGGACGTTTGCTTGATCTTGTCGTGGCAAATGATTTCACATAACCGGCCCTTGATCAGTCTTTATGCTGTCCATCCCGCTCTCATCGTGTCATTCAGGTTACCTACTCCGAATTCAAATAGACCAATCTACATTCTTTCAATTCTCAATTCTCTTCATCGACTCTCTCTTTCGGAAATAGCTCGGCTACAAAAATATTTCCTGTCGTCTTTGTCGTATTAGAAGCTAGATTGTTGCGTCTTCCATCTATCTGGGGGTCCAAAATATCCGGAAATATCTTAACACAACCGTGACGATCCAAAGAGAAAGTCGATGAAGAGAATCGATCAATGCAGAAAGGGCCCATTGAAAAATAAACAAGCAAGACTGACGCCTAATATGAAGGCGGTTAACGGAGTAAGCCCAGGAGTAAACAGACAGTAAATCGATGAACGTCGATTAAATTTTGAGGTACATTGAGTTACTCGCGAGCTACTCGCAGCAAAAACGGAACGCAGAGTAAAGCTGTCTCACCCCTTGTTTTAGACCGAGAAAAGAAAGGGCAACTATCCGCGAAGGTGGCCACAGGTCGTCTGAGGTCATCTCGGGTTCCGAGGGTTATCGCTACTATCAAAATAAGGAAGATTCGGGTGAATCCAGTGCGTTCAATAAGGAAAATGGCAAAGGAATCTTGGGATCAGTGACTTTACGGCAGGAAGATCGTAAAAGAAGATTGCGGGGCGAAGTCGAGGGCACGGAAAAAAAACTCACACTCACGAATCGAACGATGCAAGAAAATCTTGAACCTCCTTAAGCGAAAAAAATCCGTTAATCCTGTTCACCGACGAGAGCATGTTTTCCATCGGTCCCGTATCAAATTCCAGAACCGACCGGTATATTAGTTCTCTTCCGGTAAAAGACGTGGCCGACGAGCACAAGAACGTGTATCTGACCAAGCATTCTGCTAGCGTTATTGGTGGCTTTCGATGGCAAAACAATGGACCCGGTGTTCATTCCAGAAGGCGACAAGGTCAACACGGAGGTCTACATCGGGATTTTAAGTAAGTATTTTCTTCCGTGGATCAAAGAACAGTACGGTCCGAAGCCAAATGTTGTATTTCAACAAGATGGGGCTCCGTGTTACACTTCGAACCGCACTCAGAAGTGGTTGCAGGAACATCTTCCGTTCTGGACGAAGGATATGCGGCCGTAATCCAGCCCCGATCTTAATCCGCTGGATTACTCAATATGGCGCGTCATGAAGGCCAAGGCCTGTTCTAAACGCCACCCGAGTGCAGCAAGTCTCAGACAAACATTGACCCGTACCTGGAGAGAAATGGATCCAGACTACATTATTAGAACCTGCCGTGCATTCCGGAAGCGTGTGGAGGCCGTAATTGCAGCAAGTGGAAACTCGATCGATGATTAACATAGTTTAAGACTTTGAAAAACATCCCCCCTTTGAATAAATAAAAAACCTCGAAAACGAAATTTTTGAGATTTTTTTTAATTTTGACATTGCTCAATGGTGCAAATATTATCACGCATACAGTATATCTCATGATCTAATTTTGTAAATATAAACGCTCAGAAATAGATGAGCGTCAAATCCCTTACGCATTCTCAGTGCTCAGGTGCTAAGTTTTTACAAGAGAAGGCGTACCACCATCACAAGCCTGTTCCAAACTCTTTTAAAATTTCGCCATGTTTGATTTTGCAAGACCATAATTTTGAAAAAAATTCAAAGCCAAACATCTTTAAAAAAAATTATCTAACATAGCTAAAAACAAAAACAATTCAAGTCTCATAACTTTTAATTTCTTTTTGATTGTTCTTTAATAAAAACTCGATCCAGCATTAAAAAGCTTACTAAGTAAAAGAAGTTCTATCAATAGACGCAGTAGTTTAAATGCCCCAACTTTAAAAATAGTGAAAAATATTGATTTATTTTGTATGCAATAGAACATTTTTTTTTAATCCTGAAATGATTTTTTGAAGTGGTTGAACACATTTTTATTTTAAAAATTTGCTTAGTAAATTATTTTAAAAATTCCCTGATGAATGATGAAATTCCTTGAGCAAGTTTTTCAAGGAATGGTGTCGTTTTTTCAGTTTTTGTCGTGCTGGGGGTCACATTGAAGAAATCGAAAATGAGTCAAGTAACGTAAAACGGTGGTGTTTTGAAACGAATATTTCTCCAAAGCATTCATGTGAAATATGTCATGCAATATGCCATTCGGCAGGGAATTTATCCAGCATTTTTGGCATAAATATATTACATATAGTGAATATAGTCAAACACCTAAAAAAGTTAACGAAAACTGAGAGCATCATCATTTCCCATAAATTTGCTTATAGCACAAAGTATATTTTCTAACAGAACCATCACATACGAACATACGAATAGTAACCAAAACAGAAACTGCCTAGTATGGAAGTAATGTAGTGTTGAAATGTAATACGCACGAAGAAAAATGGTATACGAATCTTGTTCAACCATGGGTATAAAAAAGGGTTCGTTTTTTTCCTTGATTTGTTTTCCGTCGATCTTTTTTTCCGTGCTAAGCAACAATGCTACCGACGCCAGGGAGGCAACTTCCACACCTGGACCCTACCTATCGATCCATCAACTCATGAACCGGGGACCAACGGCTTTACTGATCAGAGATGTTATGCCTCAGAACATCCCGGCGGCGCCGACTGGGATTGAACAAATAAGGGTTCGTTGTCAAGGGATATGTTATGTTCTTAAAAATAGTAATAAGTTCACGAAGCAGAGACCTGTTTTGAAAGAAATGTCATCAAACACAATAGCCCAGTCCGGTATTCATTATTATCAGTGTGTTTTTATTTGCATGAATTCGTCTATACAACATCGATTTCGTTTTATCAATTACAATAAGTTGCATCCTTTTTATTTATCATTCCTTATTTCAGTAGGGTGATTATGTGATTTTGAACGTAATTCGTATTAAATTTTCATTTGCTTACTTTTGAAGTAGGTAGGTATTTCGCTTATCTTGCCATAGTCAAATTGCAATTCTACATGTACACTTTTCATTCGTCATCATTTGTTGCCGGCTTATGTCAAAGAGTCGAATTTGAATACAGTTGGCATATCTTTTTTCTAGTCGGCTAGTGGTTGATTAAGACTAAACCATTTGATTTTTGTAGTTTCAATTAAAACAGGGATCACATATACTTACAAACACAAAATGATTATACATTTATTATCAGTGTCGTTTTCCTATCAACATTTTTGATCTTTAATTAAGTTATCGACTATCCACAAAGTAGGAAATTGGCTTCCATATTAAAGTACGTTCATATACTGATTAAAACAGCTAGGATTTTTTTTCTATCTGCGATTGAGAGTGTTTAAGTGTGTGGTTTATTGTTCTTCTGTCCTCCCAACTGCGAAACATTTTTTTTCTCTAAACTACTGTCCATTTTTTCATCGCTTGTCTTTATGTCATTCAATAGAAACGAAAAAACAAAAATTGCAACATTACATACTACCGATCCGAAGGTGTTGGTGAGTAATAAATAACATCCCTTCCTCGTGGGGAACTACTTTCGCCTAGATATATCTACGGTTCTACGGTTGATGGCTATTTACAGGTGAGACTTGATGAGTGGCTTCGTGAAGTCGTTGGTGAATGCGAGATTAGGTTCTATACCAGTAGCTCTGCGATAATACTGTATCGTGATTTGTGGTCTGATCTTTCGGAAATCATTAAGATTCGGACAAGCCTCTTTCAGACGGGGGTGCTGGTGGTCGTAGTGCGATGACCGGTGTTTAGTTTGAAGGACTTCTCGGTGAGGGCGACTGGTGTGGTAGGGCAGCGGAGGGAGGTAGGCCTTGGGGTTGGTGGTGATGTGCCTGTGGGATTTGGTAGGGGCTGAAGCGGGGGAAGTGCTTTGCTCGGAGGTCCGGAGAGGGTGACCCGGCAGAGCTGGCCGGACTGGTCATAGTTTGGGTTGGTGGGGGTGGAGTTGTCCTGGGGGGAGGAGGAGGTGGAGCAGAAGCGGCTGCTGCTGCAGCTGCGGCGGCAGCATTTGGTAGGAAGCCCGGTGGGAACTGCTGAGGCCATTGACTCTGCCAGAGGTGCCCGAGGTTGAGCGCCCCCAGATTCGGTCGTTGGTACATTTGCGGTATTAGGAGATCTCCGTACGGGGTGGCACGACCCCACATCTGCAAGTGCTGACGGGCTTTTTCCAGCAGAGCAGCTTGAGCTCCATCCGGGTCTTGACCTGCTCCCGCGAATTGAGCCATCAGTGGGTCCGGGAAGAGGCGCAACGGTGAGCGGAGGTGTTGCTCCAGCAGCAACGCGTCCATGGGATCCCTAGAAATGGAAATGTAAAAAAGTTCCATGTTTAATGCTTGTTGTTTTGTTTCGCTGGCTTATATTTTTTTCTAGTGAAGCAATTATAAAATGATAATGAGACGAAGAGTAATGGCAACGCGAAGCTTAAGCGGTTGTAAGCAGCGAGTTGTGAAAAAAGTAAGACACGCAAACATATATACATAAATGTACTCCAGTGCGCTGCGTTCCGCTAGCGATGGAAAGCGCCGAGTGGGCGGAGCAGTCTGTTGGCAATTGCTTTGACTACTACGATGATGACGGGATGATTGATCGGAGGACATGGTTCAGCTGACGGGCGGGCGTGCTGGCGGCCTGCTATGATCTGTCAGATGGAAACGTTGCTGCAGGGAATATGGCTTCATAGGAAACGTTATTTGAACTGATGGTGTTTAAAAGTCAAGACCAACAACAAATCCAGTGCCTTTTTCAATTCAAGTTCGATCGTATCTATAATTTCAGGAAAATTAATTTATAATCCATTATACTCGCTTGATAAGTACAAGATTTCATCTGAAACTATACTCCAATCCACACACGCTAATCTTCCGAATGCACCAACCGGAGCGAGCATAGGAAGCCCTTCGATGCACCCCTAATCCCCGGCCAACCTGATGCAATCACGCGATCAAAAAAGCAACCCGCTCGCGTTGATAGCCCTCCTCATCGAGAGTACCATCCCCATCAAACCCTCCCCTCCCCAGTCAGGCCTTCCAATGTCCGAGCCACTAATTTGTTGTACACGAGGTGTGAAGAAATCTGCCCTGATGATGCGTTTTCCTCCGCTACACACACTCTCTTTCCGTTCGTTTATGCTCAAGCCGCCGCCGGCCACCTCCTCATCATCATCAACACCACCACCATCCGGCAGCAGCAGCAGCAAATGCATACGAGAGTGCATCCAAGAGGAAAAAGCCTTTAATCAGCGAATCACCATCGGAAAGTGTTCCACGGTCTCTCTCTCTCTCTCTCTCGCTCGACTCTGGCCGAGGTTGCTTTTGTCTTTAGGGCCCCGTTCTCGATCTCGGCCCCGGCTGGACCAGACAGGCAGGCAACGTGTGCGCGCGGATGAAGAACCTGCACTGCACACCCGTTTCCCCTTCTTTCGTTCCTTCCTTGCTTCGGAACCGATCCATTCCTTTTATTGTGCGCTTTCAGCCGACCTTCAACACCTCCCAAAGGCAAAAGAAGGAGCAGCGCAGGAGCTTTTTTATCGGAACCGGGATGCTACTTGCCAACAGAACGGAACAGCAGAGTTTGCCGACACAGAAACTTTGGTCGTCGGGATAGGAGAGTGGAAAATAATCGATATTTTCACCCGTTGTTCAGAGCTTATGGGAGGGATAGGATGAATGTGCAGCTACATTTAGGCTCATTTAAGGATGTAAAGGTTTCTGTGTTTTAGTGAAAGCTACAGCATGCATCGATTCGTTTGCATAATTGTTTTAAGCATTACACTTAAAATACCAATTTAATTCAAGCGTCCATTAAACAAACATGAACCATTTCCAAGTTTTCCTCATAACAAGTTTAAAACTCAATCTGGAAGGTATTCAACATTTTTACCTCAAATCGCTGAACATTGTGGATAATATTCACAGTTCTTGTGGAATTTTCCGTAATTCCGCGATTGGCACAAGATTTTGGATTTTTTAGTTGTGGACTAAAATAAGTAAACACACAGTGGTTCGAAAGAGTATAATCCGAGGGGTTTCTACCAAGCTTGTACACATAATCAAAAATTATCAAAATTATTAGTGAATTTTGAATTTCTCAGCAATTTCAATGCAATAAAAATAATTGTGGGTAATTTACTGGTAATTTCAATAATTCCTACTGTTTGGAAAATAATTTGATAATTTTTAAGATAAAAAACAATAATTTGCCTAATTCCATAATATTTTTACTCTGAAATTATCATATTATTCACTATTCTATGTTAATTTTATGATTTTCGTTGCTTCAGGTATAGAGATTACTGTAAAGTTGTTTATTATATTCCTCTGGCTAACTTAAAAAATGTATGAAATTAGATCTGTCAAAATGACTTTGACAACGATTTGTTATGTAATTTCCTCAGATTTTCACTAACACGCCCTCACATATTGCACCAGGACGTGAAAATCTCTATAATTTTTTATTAAATTAGCGGAAATCGAATTTGAATATTTAAAAAAAAATATCTGAAAAAATAGAGGCCACATTATGCAACCCTCGAAGCAACCAAGTCAAAGCGACTTTTTCATATTAGGGGCGATCCATTTATTATGTCACGCTGAATTGAGTAACAAATAACCCCCTCTCCCCTCCCTTTCGTTACGTTTCTCCTATACCTTATGAATTGCTTGTTATAAAATTATAACCCCCCCCCCCTCCCCTTCGTTATCATCCCTTATAGCGCGATAATCGAGATTTGAATGCCAATAGAGATTTTCACGCCTGATTTTATTGGTGCACTGTATGAAACTGTGGTTGTGAAAATCCGAGGAAAATACATAACAAACTGCTGTCAAACTCATTTTGATTGATCGAATTACATACATTTTGACGTTAGCCCAAGGAAAACAATAAACAACTTTACACGGCGTTAGACTTCCGTTAGTTTGCGTGCGTTAAACGTCACTAATCTCTATTATGTTGACATTCGCATCAGCACGCGTAAATGTCCAAATGACGGGGGCAACAATCACGAATTTCGGCGGAGCTCTCATCAACGTGATGAATATAGTGGCTAGTATTCAGCACTGCGATGATAGTGTGAAAGAGTAAACTGTTTTGTTCTGTCGTTCCTCAGTTAGTTTAACCATAGAGGTAACTCTAAGACTAGAAGGTCCCGAAATAACGTGCTCAACTTTTTGGCTCAGCCCTGGTACTCTCTTCGGTCCCTAGCTAATCGATTCACCCCTCGAAACATAGGAAAAACTAATAACCCCTCATTATATCTATCAAACTTTCATAGCGAATCAAAACAAACATTGCGTAGTACTAGAATTTCGACTAGAATGGGGTACGTTAATCGTTTGCTTGGGACCAATAGGCTAGTCAAGTAGTGAGCCAATTTAAAATCGTTAGTTTCGTATTGATTGTTGGTTTTACCGCTGTCAGTATGTCCAAAAGTGTCAGATTGTCAAAAATGTCAAAATCATGTGAGCTATGGTGCATCTATATGTGGTTGACAAGGATAGGGTCCCCCTGGCAGCGTTGCCAGAATGTATTTACTATTTTAATTAATTTTATATTTTTGCCGTTTTTGAAAGCTTTTGGACTATGATCGGAAAACTCTGGAAGAAAACTCCGGGGAATGTTTGAATAAGCTTCTGGCGAAAGCTAAAAACAACATCCAGAGAAAGAAGAAATAAGCTCTCCTGGAGGAAATTCGAGGAAAGTTCTGAGAGAAGTCGGAAAAACATCACCGGATCTTCCAAGAAATAAATTGAGAAACTTCTGGCAAAAAAATTAAAGAAACTTTAAAAAAATCGGATTTCACATTTAAATTTCGGAAATCGGAAATAAATTCCAGAAGTAGCCATTTCCAGGGGAAGCCAGAAAGAGCTCGGAAAAACGTTCCAATAGAAGTAAAATAAAAATAACTGATAAAAAATTTCAGAACTAGACGAAAGAAATTTCTGGGAGATGTTTAATTGAACTTCCTGGAGAAGACAGAAGAAATTTCCTGGAGACGCTGACAGGTAGATTGGAAAAAAAATTCTGGCGGAAGTCGGAAGCCTGAGCGCTAACGGAACAGTCGAAAGAAACAAGGACATAATTACGGAAGAAAGAGCTCTTGGGGGATGTTCTAATATTCCAGAAAATTTTCCTAATGGTCATAAAACATCCCTGAAGACCCCGCAATGCCCTCAACATTGTTTTTGGAACATTCCTGATATGTACTTAGGAATATTCCATACGTCCTCGAGCTGTTTTGGAGTACTCTGATCATCTTTGAAATACTTGGAACTTCCTTGATTATAATGAGACTACCGGAATATATCTAATCAACTCTGAAGGTCTCTAGACTTTCGTGAAGATTACGAAATTTCTTATGCGCTCTCACAATTTTCTTGAATTTATTGTAACATCAGCATTGAAGTTCTCTGATCTTCCCGATTTTTCTAATTTTTAAAAGTTATCGACGCTGCCATTAATAAGCACGGAACTTCCCATAAAATGTTCTCACAATGTGCTAATGTTCGTGTAACTTCCCTCACGTTTCTTAAATTTGCATGAGCCCCTCGGAACATTGCTGAAGTTTTCAGAAAATTCTCGGAACTCCTTTAAAATTTCAGCGATTTCCTTGAAATTTATTGATCTGATCTGATTGTCCTGATGTTCTCGAATCTTCCGAAAGTTCTCTCAATTCTCCTGAAACTAATGGAACTGTCCCGAAAACCATTACATTTTCCAGACGTTCTTTGGACTTGTGAAGCATCCAAAATATTTATGATGTTTTCTTAAGTTCACTGGAGTTCGCTGGACCGGGTTTTAGAATTTTAACAGAAGTTATTGAAACATTCTTTAATTTATCGAAACTTACCTAAAAGTCTGGACTTTTCTGAACTTAGTTTTCTTTATTATGGAGGCTTTCAGCCTGAGGCTGGTTGACCTCCGGTGTTTTGTTAAGTTTGAGAACTTTTTAAAAGGATTCCGCAATCAAAATCTAGAAGCATCCCTGAAGTTCCGGGAAGAATCATTTGAGCGAAGGCTGAAGAAGCTTCCAAGGGAAGTCGAAATAAGTTTCCGAGAGGCATCGTTAATAGATAATTCCAGGGGAAAGTTGGGAGGAAATCCAGGAATTGAAATAATGTTGAAAAAAGTATTTCCTGATTCCCCGGGAATTACCAGAAAGAGCCATCGACTGTTTATTGATTCATGGGTAGCCAAAAACGGTGGGGAAATTGAAACATTAATCAAAAGAGTATCTATAAGACATTTTTGAAGTAGATTTTTTTAGAATTTTAAAGACTCAAAAAATTTGAGATATT